CGAAGCATGTGTAATCTGATCTCGATGTAGAATCTGACCAAATAAGATTATGCAATGCCTCTGATTCATCTACCGAGTATGTCATAAAAAACCCGGGATCATCATGTTTCTTATAATCAAAGTAAGCAATAAGCGCATTCACATCCCCATCGATGATTTCCTTTGCTTTACCTCTTTGAAGTGCATTGTAGAGGTCTTTATGTGTAAATCCAACATTATGATAGCCTCATGCCTGTTGCGTTAAATAGTTCATTACTTGTGATGTGTCAACACCGACCTCTTTCAATGTTGTTGCCTTATCGATATCAGCCTTACTTACAGCTCTATTAGAACGTATAAATGGTGTTATAGCAGGTGTACACAATGCATGATTATGTTTATGATAAGACTTACTTATAACCCAATGATCGTTTGTATTTGTTGTTGTAACTACGACTCTAGCCTTGCATCATGTTCTTGTGACTAACGTATGAGAACATTTACGATCAACAATATTGCCTTTTGATACTCAAAACCCTTCTTTGGAACAACAAAATTCTTGTGTCTTCAGATTCCCTTCCACGTCAAGTCGTGTTGTTCCCTTACGTGCACTAAACCCATGTTCTCGTGCGAATCCCTTGTAAAAGTACCAAGCTTGATCACGTGAAGAGAAGAGTTGACCTACCAATCTATCAGATTCATCAACATTATGTATTTCATGGCATTCCTCGGTTGGCTTAACATTGTCTGCATCAGTATGATCCATCGCAAAAATTTTGTTGTGCAAGTTCATTGGTCCCGAAGTTGATGGAGATGTAAGTAAAGGTTCATTCATTCAACATGTTTCAGTAGGGAGCCGTGCTTTCAATAGGATGTGGTATTGGTAGTGGTAGTTGAAGGGTGGGTACAACATTAAATTCGCGTGATATATTTAGGTGTGTACAATAACCACCTAAATATGTGTCGATACATTTTCTAAAAGTATCGACCCAAAAAACATCGAAACCAATAATTATAATGTAATAGGTAAATTAACAATGTAACCGGTATAAATATACCGGTTAATTAGAAAACAAGTCAACATAATGTATCGACACTTGTGTAATTTGTGTCGATACTTATTGTCTAGAATGAATTCCCAAACGAGGTGCACGCATAAAGTGTCGATACAATTATTAAAAGTATCAATCCCAATAAAATCAAAACCGATAATTATAATGTAATAGGTAAATTTACAATGTAACCGGTATAAATATACCGATTTTATGTTAAAATATGTGAACATAATGTATCGACACGTTTTATATTTGTGTCGATACTTTTTGTCCAAAATGAATGCCAAAAGAGTTGCACGCATAAAGTGTCGATACATGTTTTAAAAAGTATCGATCCAAAAAATATCGAAACCGATAATTATAATGTAATATGTAAATTTACAATGTAACTGGTATAAATATACCCGTTTTATGAGAAAATAGGTCATCATAAAGTATCGACACTTATTAAATTTGTTTCGATACATTTTGTCCATAATGAATGCCAAACAGGTGCACGCATAAAGTGTCGATACATTTATTAAAACTATCGATCCCAAAAATATCGAAACCGATAATTACAATGTTATAGGTAAATTTACAATGTACCCGATAGAAATATACCGGTTTTATGAAGAAGAAAAAAGGTCTAAATAATGTATCGACACTCTTTAAGTTTATGTTGTTACTTGTTTTCAGAATGAATACCCAACGAGGTGCACGCATAAAGTGTCGATACATTTAAAATTGTATCGATCCAAAAAACATCGAAACCGATAATTATAATGTAATAGGTAAATTTGCAATGTTACCGGTATAAATATACATGTTTACTTATAAAATAAGTCAATATAAGCGCTACCTATTATATATATAAGCGCTACCTATTACATTATATAAGCGCTACTTAATGTGTTATTGTACTTGATAATATTTCCGGTTAAATGCCTATTTTATTATATAAGCGCTACCTATTACATTATATAAGCGCTACCTAATATGTTATTGTACTTAATAATATTTCCGGTTAAATGATATAACATAACCGATCTAAATTTTAACCGGTCACTTGTTTAACCGGTCAAGCCGTTTTTTAGTCTTTTTAGGCGCCGCACAGTAGACGTTCCCTATCTTATTCCCAATCACAATCCATCAACAACAGCTTGCACCGATACCTTCTTCAAAACATACACACACATGAATTTATCTAAAACGTAATGGTAATTCTGTTGTACAACAGTTTAATTTAAAGCTAAGAAAAGATACAGTAAGAAATATTAATTTTTTAAAAATATTTTTGGTTAAACATAATTTAAAATGTTAATTTTTTTATATTTTCGCAACTTACAATGTTAATTTTTTAATATTTATAGTAGTAACTAAAAATATTATCTTCTTTATAATATTTTCTGTTGAAACTGGAAATGTTAAAAAATTAACATTTTAGGTTGTAAAAATATTAAAAAGATTAACATTTTAGATTATATCCAATTGAAAATGTTAAAAATATGTTTAATATTTCTAGTTGCACCTTTTATTACGCTTACATTAGGTTTTCTTTCTTTATACATTTTCAAGAGTTCTGCTAGATTTTTAGGAATTTAATTTTTTATGGGAAAATACCAGTTGACCAAAGTTTGTACAGCTGAATTCAGTTGCCCTAACTTGGCAGAAATGAAAAATAATAATAAATAAAGTCAAAATTCCATGATTTAACCTTTACAACGCATGCATGTGGAGTATAATTATATGTTTTTATTATATGAACTTTTTAGAACTTTGAAATTTATAATGTTTTCTCTTGGATTATTTTTTGTCTATTTGAATTTTTTTTTATAAATTTAAGCATCAATGCATGTTGTCTAAAATTTAAGTATAAAAAATATAGTATCTACATTAACCTTTATTTTAATAATTTGACACGATTATAAAATTATATCTATTCATATTTTTTTTTGATTTATTGATAAGTTTTACATTATTTTTGTAAGGAGCGAGTGACTAAAATTTTATAAGATTACATGCGGTTTTTTAAGGCAAACACATCGATCTCCCCACGGAAACTCCATGAACATTGTTGGGTAAATGTAATTAAATCCATGCTGTCATCTTCAAAAATAAGAATTGTTTGTAAAATGAGATAAACATCTTTGATAATTTCATGATAATTCTAAAATTCTAAAATGTTCATGGAATAAAAACCTGCCAATGATGTCTCCACTCTGAAATTAACCACGTAATGTGGTCTTAACATTATTGGCTTCAAAGAACACCATATTTTATGTTAAAGAAAATAATATTTCAGTTAAGTTCATGTCTTAATATATTTTTAACTTAAAGTTATCAAAGTTCTGAAAGAAAAAATAATAATGTAATTTTTAAATAACTTAATTTTTAAAGGTTTATGTGGCTGATATTTATTTTATAGAAGTGTAAGGGTCAAGGAAAGGGGTTGATTTTGTAGACCCATCCCCTCAGCTGGTTTGATTGTAAACCCTTTTTGCATAACGTTAGGATTCTTCATTCTTACGTCTCCTTGTACGTATTTTCAAACTAAATTTTAGAAACAAAACCGCATTTATTATGTATTCAGATTCTAATTAATAAAGGATCAAGGAAATGGTTACCCATTTCTCAAGCAACCTTCCCAAACCATTAATTCGATATCCCTAAAAAGTTATTAATTCGGTATCCTATTATGTTTTTCAAAAGGTTTTGGATCCGAGTAGTTGTATATGTAGGATATGTATGTTTTATTAATAAATTTAAAAAGTTTTTGAATGTATATTATCTTCTTATAATCCTTTAATCCCATTTCATGCCTAAAATTCGTAATGAATCCTCATTAAAGGTTCTTATCATCCGCAACACAACAGCTGGGATTGCCCACGTCAAAAAGGATATTCAATTTTGAAATCAAATACCCATAATATACTAAAGTAAAACTTATTTTATTGATGATCTACTACTATATCAAACAAACAATTTTTATTAAAGTAAAATATTTAGCAACAAGGCTTTCCTTTAATTTGAAAGGATTCTGCGAATTCAACCACAGATCCGATTATAATAAAGAATGTTTAGGAGCTGATCCTATTAAGTGACATGTATCTGGGTTAAGGTTCATTCTTACTAAATTTGGGCCTCTGGTTTTTCTCTAAACAAGTGTTATAAATCATGTCAAGGAACATGCCTATAGTAAATGTCATAAAAACCAAACCAAAGCTCAAAAGTCGAAAGCAACCGAACTACAAACATCCCTCTTTCTATATGATCACCATGGACTTGCATGTTAAGCGAGGAGAAACCAACACGAGTCTGTAGAACAACAGCCTTCAGAAAGTATATAAAAACTCTCATCAACTTCAACTTTTATCTGTTCAATTATTATGCATTGAACAAAAACGAGAGAAAGACAAAAAGAACTTCATCTTCTTCCCTTGGTCCATTGGCGAGTTAAGTGAAAGTTAGAATTTTGCTAATTTCCCAAGTTTTAGTGAAATCCATTTTTAAATATCAAACCCTAAGTGCATAAAGTGTTAATTAGAGCTATCCATTTTACTAATTAGATAAATCAATATCTAAGGAATATCATAAGTTTATATTTGATCAGGGATGATCATGGTGTTTTGTATTCATTTTGATATTTGACGAGGTAGGACTCGAGTACCCAAAGGATTGATCGTCTTTTTTTAAATATCTGATTATGTAATTTAATTCCGATTCAATTCTAACAAAATTCCAATCATTTGCTCACCAAAATAATTAATGATATGTGGTAATGTTCTTTCACCTTTCTGCTTCTGCCTTCTATGCTCTTCCATTTTGTTATTCTAGTAGTTTTTGACCTCGATCGTATCATTCTATTATTCAGTGGCCCTATCTTCATTGACATATTTATAATGGGTTTTCCGAGCAGGGAATGCTTCTGGACCTTCACAACTATCAGAATACATAAAATGAAAGAACTACTACAGTGAGATTGTATTTATTAAATTATTCTGTCGATGCCTTATTGCTTGAAAGGAATTCAGTTCTAGCCTCGCATTCAGCCGGATCAGGCATCTTATAGCTTGAAATATAAAACGGGGAAGCATTTACAAGCACGATTAATTTTTCTTCTAGAAAATAGACTTCGTGGCTCATCAAAGAATTGCCTACTGCTTCGAATTTTCGCTTGTATGCTCGGCATTCGATGGAGTTTTTACTTGTGATCATTTTCATCTCCCAGGCTCCTGATCACGGAATTATATATCTACGTTATTTTTAAGCAAAAATTACCTCATTCAGTGTGACAGCTTTTCAACAAGACTTCGATAGGTCGATAACACAAGCTTCTGCGATCCAGAAAAGTTTAGCTTTCTAAATGTTCTGATTCTTCATCAGGTTCTTTCCCAGGTTCCACTGCTGCTTCAACAGTTTTCAGATTTTCAACAGGTTCCAATTTGTCAACTAATTCTGGTTCATCATCTTCAACTAGTGCGTAAACCACTGCTGTTCTAGAAGGTGAATACACCAAGAACGAACGAGGCAGGTCATCATACCATCCTTCCTGGATAAGGCCCCATTGGGATAGGCAATGGTATATAAGAGTAAAGAATTCAGAAATAAAAATAGAGAAAAAACTCAAAACTATACATGAATTTTGTTTCATTACGTAATGTGGTAAGTTGAACTTCTATTTGGTGCAATTACATACATGGATTTTGATTTTGATACAGAATCTATAAACCAATAGCATTGTTATCGACGTGACACTATTTTAGGCAAGTAAATACAAACAATCATGTTTATCCAGTGAGCAAATAAGTCGAATTATCTGTTCTTTAAAATGTGCCCACTTGAATCAAAATCAAAATTTCATGCATAAAATTGCACCGAATTAAAGTTCACCTATCACATTGCACACTTGATCGAAGTCCATGGGCAATTTTGATATTTATCAATTATCACATAGAAGTATCTCCAGAGAATTTACTTACAGAGCTGAAGTATTCAGCAGTATGGTTAAGCCTATTGAAGCCTCCAAATAATGGATCATCTGAATCCAATACAATCTGGAAGAGGGGGGGAAATATTAGCCATTGCATGGCAAATAGCTTAAACCTACTGGATACAAAATGAATGATCCATGGATATGAATAGTAACTGGAGTAAGGTGGGATAACAAAAGACATGCAAATTCTTTTGAGTTTCAAACTTATGAACCCACAAAACATCATACCTTGTACTTTCCAGGCTTTAAGCAGCCCACCCGGTAGTCAAAGTAGCTCTTATGCCAATGGAAGTTGAACACGAAAACCAGGTTGCCTCTTTCAAAGACAATAATCCTATCTCCTTCATCCTTCCGTGAGATATATTGGTGCTCAGAAGTCATGAACTGAATAAAAATGTCAGCCATGCATCATTTTAACCAAGTAGAAAGAAAAGCTTATCGAGTCTCCAGGCTACCCTATTTGATTTGGATAAATCCAATTGTGTGAAACAGGTGATGGTAAATGACCAATGATTAACATGGAGTATATAACATCAAAACAGTAAAGCACCAGCAATACTTACACCATATTTTTCTTCGAGATGCTGCATTGCCTGGTCAAATTCTTGCATCCCACGATACCTCAGATAGTCAGCATCCCCCTATGTGCATATAACCAAATATATCAATGCATTGACACATGCTAACTCAGAGACAAAGCAGAGACATGCATTTATACCCTTGTACATTTGATTGGTGATAATAAAATACAAATGCATACAATTCTTCCAGTCCCTATATGAAAATAAAATCACGTAGCTATAGAAGTTTTAACAAGCTGTAATACAAGCAAAATATGAACTAAATGGAAACTTACGAGATCAAACCTCCGTCGGCATTTATCATAACTGTAATTATTCCCGGGGATTACTGCCCCACTAGGAAGATGCTGCTCACCCCTTGGAAAATCAATCCACTCTAAAGAAAAGAACAATGGAGAAATTATAGGCTAGAGCACAGCATTCAAGAACCACCAATTTCCACAATTCTATTATAAAGAATGAAGGGAAGATTTGCATCCATTGGACCCTTACCAGGATGTCCAAATTCATTTCCCATGAAATTCAAATATCCTTCTCCACCTAGTCCCATTGTAATAAGCCTAATCATTTTGTGTAATGCTATCCCACGATCTATAAGTGGAGTACTTGGTCTATCTAGAGCCATAAAATCATACATATCCTGCAAAAATAGAATTTTGAAGTTAACAATATTGAAGATTATAAAGCCAATTTGACCCTCTTTTTTAATATATATAACTTAGCAAAAGCCAATATAATTGCAAATTTCTAATGGCTAAAGATCAAGGAAAGAAAATACTAATAAAAACATCTCCTATAGCCAGTTATCTTTCAAAGTATGTAATACTCTTCAGCATAATATAAGTAAAAACATGTTTAACCTTATCCATCAACCAGAATGCTATTGTTTTGTCACCAACTAGAGCTTGGTCATGACTTTCAGCATAAGCAACACACTTTTCCATCCACCTCCTGTTGGTGAGTGTGTGAATAATGTCACCCATTTTCCAGTCTTCATCTCTCTTCCTATATGGCATAACAAGGCAAAAAGAACATTTAGTTATCAAATATCTCACAAGACAGTGAATTAAAGGTCATCACAAAGTAAAAAGTTTTAAATTGGACATATAACACACTTAAGAATCTCAATCCATTTATCAGCAATGGCCATGTGAAGACGGTAATCAAATCCCACACCACCATCTTGGACAGGAATGCAGAAAGTAGGCATTCCACTTACCTGTAGCACACACAATGATTAGAATAAAGAAGATAAAGCATATCGACATTCACCTCAAGAATTGCACATCTTTGTAACAATTTCCTCTCGGTGTTATTCCTTTATTTGTTGACTAAAAGTTACTACAGTTGGCTGCCAACTGAACATTCCTAACAAATTAATGCTAATATTTCCATAGGGTAAAACAAAAGTTATGATTGGTTGTTCTTGTAGCTTTTTAGGTGAATAGTTTTTGGAGAAAAGATGAAATTTGTGAAACAAGGACATTTACGATTTCTAGAAATTATTGTTCCTCCTGTTCTAGTGTTTCGGGAATTTCAATTTAGGCATCTTTTGTTATAATGTTTCCATAATTCTTGGTCTACAATAACTGCATCAAGAAATTTAACTACTCTTCAGTTCACACTACAGTATCAAATTTACTTAATTACCCGCAACTAATCTACTTCTTCATTGCATTCAATTCAATTGATGCATAAAGTGGGAAAGAATGAGCAAGAACATGCATAATAAAGTTTGGCAGGCCATGCATGGAAAAGTAAATCCGTGCAAACTTTTTCAAAACCATTTCTATTCCTATAACCACATCGAACACGCAAAAGTGTCTCGAAACCCATTAAAGCAATGGGTCCAGTGGTAAAAATGTTGCTGTATAAGACACAGATGGCTTAAATTGAACATCAGAATTCAGGAATAGATAAATCTTAAAAGACGAAGAATGCTCAAGATGATTCTAAGAAGAGTTACAGAACATACATCTTCACCAATGGTGACAGCCTCAGGATATAGCCCATGAATCATATCATTAACCAGCATTAGATAAACAACAGCATCTACATCAGTGGCAAATCCGAAGTATTCATTGTAATTTCCAGTAAATGCTACCTGCAGAAAGTTCAGGAAAACAAATGTTAGGGACACACGCACCCTTTGGTCCTCAAGGAAAAATTTGTTAAGCAAAAGAACAGAAGAATGATGCTTCAATACTTGCAAGAACCTAAACCTGGGCAGTTAAATTCTGAATATACGAGTAACTTATTATATAACACCAATGGATAATCTCAAATTCACTCAAATATAATACCTGCAGACCATGATGGGTGTACATCATTGAAGTCACACCATCAAATCTGTACCCATCAAACTTATATTCCTCCAGCCACCATCTTGCATTTGAAAGAAGAAACCTTAGTACCTAAAGCAACAATTAAAAGAATAACATTTACACACAATTAAATTGGAGGAAGCCAAAATCTTTCAAAAATCTATTTGTTAATAAAAGTTCAAGTAGAAGTACATACCTCCCAACTTGCATAATTAAAAAGGCGAGAATCCCACATCCAGTGGTGACCCCTTGACCCCGAGTGGAAGTAATGAGCATCAGTTCCATCGAACATGTTCAATCCATCTAACGTATTATTTGAAGCATGGCTGTAATCATAAAATATGTTAGACACTGTAGAAATACCCGACAATTAGGAATTTTATTTCAGTTAGAAGTCTAATTTATTTATATTGTAGATAGTTTCCATGTGTATTTAGAAGCTAGTGTCCTAATTAGTCTGTAACAGTTGGTATCACTCCTAGTAGGACTCTAACTAGTTAACTTGCAAGTGGATATTAACTGTCAAATACGAAGCAAATAGAAATGTTGAAAGGTTCAAAGTTAGACTGGTGACAAAGTGATTCACTAGATCATATAGGATTAATTACCAGGAGACATTTGCTCCTATTGCCAAACTAGACACAATACAAATATTCTTGTCATTGACAATCAATGAAGAGTGGCCTTTATATCAACTAGACATAAAAATTGCATCTTTAAATGGGGATCTTGAAGAAGTCTACATGGAGATACCTCCAAGCTTAGAAAGTCATGTTAATGGCTTCAGAGTGTGCAAACCAAAGAAATCACTTTATGGTCTAAAACAATCTCCTCCTACATAGTTTGATAGGTTTATCAAAGCAGTGGTCACTTATGAATAGAGTCAATGTTAAGTATATCACACCTTGTTCATGAAAGCCTCATCAAAAGATAAGAAGACCATTCTTGTTGCCTCATAACAGGAGATGACACAGAAGAAATCATTACGCTAAAAGGTTGACTTGCTGTTGACTTTAAAATCAAAGACCCTGGTGCTCTCAAATACTTCCTAGGGATGGAGGTTGCTCAATCTAAATCAGGAATTGCAAATTCTCAAAGAAAATATGTCCTGAACTTGTTTACCAAGATTGAATGCTTGGGTGCAAACCAACAGAAACTCTCATGGATCCAACCTAAATTTAAGGGAGAATGAAGGAGTATCGGTTGACAAAGTGAAGTATCAAAGACTAGTGGGCAAACTAATCTATCTTTCACACACAAGACTAGATGTTGCATTTTCAGTGAGTATTGTCAGCTAGCATACAAATGATCCACGAGAAGAGCATCTAGAGGCTGTAAACTGAATCCTAAGATACCTAAAGATGATACTAGGTCACGATTTACACTTTAAAAGGAGTGAAAACCGTGAGGTAGAAGGTTATAATGATACAAGTTGGGTTGAAGAGCTAACCGTAAGATCAACCACTGGCTATTGCTCAACTGTTTGGGGCAGCCTTGTTATATAGAGAAGCAAAAAACAATCTATAGTTTCAAGAAGCATTGCAGAGTCTGAAGTTTAAGCTCTTGCCTCAAGAATTTGTGAAGGAATATGAATCCAAAGACAATTAAGGATGATTCTAAGGACTATTTTAAGGTGAAAAGTGAATCAATCAGCTATACGCATTGCCAAAAATACTATCCATCATGACACAAAAAAGCATGTAAAGATTGACAACCACTTTATTTCAGACAGTTAAAAATAGAGTTGTTTAATTGAGTTACATTCCTACTCAAATGCAACTTGCCGACATTCTTCCTAAAACCCTTCCAAAAGCTAACTTTGATGGATTTAAGTCTAAGCCGGGATTATATCACATATACACCCCATCTTGAGGAGTGTAGATATTACAAACAATTAGGAATTTTATTTCACTTGGAAGTTTAATTTATTTTAGCATATAAAAGTTTGATTTATTTATAATTTATTTATATTGTACGATTAGGATAACTTTCTTAATAGATAAGATAAAGTTTAGGAGAAAAATAAGGAAGAAAAGAAACCTAATAGGGCTCTAAGTTGTAATCCATAGCCTATAAAAACAGGTTGTGTTTTTTATTTTTCAATGAGAATTTTGATTAGAAAAATTCGTCTTCTATCAATTTCTTCTTTTTTTTATTCCCTCAATTTCTTAACCTCTCACAGATACAAAGGTAGATGAGAAAACAAATTAGTAAATTTAACCATATAATAAAAATGAACTGAGGCTCGTAGTAAACAACTGCTTTTGCAACAAGCTGACAGTGGACAATTATATTATAAAGTTCATAGGATTCTATCAATCATATTTACTCAATCAGTTACAACTTTGCTTTCTCTTGTTTAGAATTATTTTTAGCAACTTTATAGCCAAGAAAAAGCAACTACAGAAACTAAAAAGCAAGACTGATTACCAACAAGAGCCTAAATTCTCATAGCCACATTTGCGTCAAGTCTATTGGAAAAATGATCATAGAGACAAAACAGGAAAACCATGAGTAAGTTTTTAACTTTTCACTTTTTGTACACGGATATCTAACTGTTACCTGTGCACAATGTCCATAAGAACAAGTATCCCCAACTCATGAGCCCTATCTATCAGCGACTTAAGATCATCTGGCGTTCCAAAGCGGCTGCTAGGTGCAAAGAAGTTTGTCACATGATACCTGCAACATATTAAATGCAACTTGTTACAGGTAGAAGACATTAGTTTCCATCAATGAAAACCAAATTCTGAAAATATACCTGCTTGTATCCACAAAATAGCAGTTGGAACAAGTTTACAAGCTTACAAACATAAACAGCAACAAATGGACTTGAGTTAATATTATGACAGAGGTAATACCCAAAGCTAGCATAATATGAGTGCTCTTGAATAGCCATGATCTGAACAGCATTGTACCCAAGCCTTTTAATACGGGGAAGAACCTCATCTCTAAAGTTGGCATATGTGTTAATAATTGGCTCCTGCATCAGAGTTGATAATACCAAGTGAAATGCAACATAGAAAAAAAAAGATCAAAGGTCTTTGTGCAACAAATTTTATATGGATGATATTGATGGTATGCATGAAAATTACCTTTTAGCATGTTAGTCATATTATATACTATCATGATAGTCCTATATTATATGCAAATACCATTATCACATAGCAAAACATCACACATACTGCTAAAAGTTGATTGACGCAAAATCAAACGTGAACAACCAACAGAATGGAACTACCTAAACAAAGGATAAGGATTAGTAGTATGAATCTACTTTTGTAAAAGCAAACATCTTAAAACATACTATATTGTAATTTCTGGCCTTTTCCATAACAACCCAGGTTTTGCCTGGTGGCTGTTTTAACTCTTTAAATAGGGTTGAGATTTAAGGTTTGCACCCTCACATGTAAAAAAACCCATGTGTACTTAAAAAACGAATGCAAGGTTATTTCCTACATTTGAGAACCCTGATTGTCTTTTCGCTGCTAACAACTTAGAACAATAAGACTTCAGAAATTTTTACAGAGCAAGCTCTTAAAACTATAATCTTGTAATACCATATCCTAGGACCTTGTGACTCTAGCCCCTTCTTCAAGAGAAATAAAGGCCTCTTTAAACCTTAGTTGAAAACCTGATTATCATAAGGACAAGATGTGAAATACTGATAAATTTTGGTTAATTGCAAATTCAAAATTCTTAATGGGATTTCCATGCGGGTATAAAATCCCAATTAAAAGCAATCCAACCAATTTATATTTCATTTATTTGCAACTTCTATGTAAGACGTTTCTAGAAAAAGCAGCTAGCAGAGATCCAAGTCACTAGCTATTAGGCATTTGCCTTTATAATCACTTACTAAAGTAATACATAATTAGTAAAATCCAAATCAAAGGACAACAAAATTTCATTTAAGCAAAGAACACCAAAAGTAGGTCATGCAAAACTATATAGATTTTTTATGGTAAACTTAATTCACAGAGTCTTCTCTCCAATAGAGGCCATTCTCCATCAGGAAACAGGATGGAACTAACAGCTTCATTCAGAAATTTACTTGCATTTTGATACAGCTATACTATTTGATACTCTTTATCATGTTCAATGCATGTTTAAAATGTTCCTTTCCTTTCTTCCTTTTCTATATTAGAGGAAAATTGATGATCTAAATATGAACTAAGATGATTTTCCTGTAAAATGAATTTTCATAAAAAAACTAATGCTCTGCTTTCAGTACTAATGCCTAGGAGGAACACTTGTTTGTAGCAAGTCTGGAAAGAAATGGAATATAAAATATGATTCCACAGATTAAAGCATTCAACAAAGAACTCTATGAACTTATGGTCCTACTTTAAGATCAAATAAACCATATGCAATTAAGCACATACAAGGATTGACTAAAAATTTTCTACATGCAAGGGAAAAGAGAGATACCGGACTACTCATTCCAACATGGGACTCATAAATTCTAAGTGATTTGGGTCTTATTGGCTGAGGGTGCTTGAATACATACTTTTCCTGTCACAATAGAAACATCATTATTAATAAGAGTACAAATATTTGTGATAAGAAACATATAACAGAACAGACTGAGCTAAGTTGATCATGCTATGCAGTGATTAAACTGGAACAGAAAGAATGTAATTCAGAAACTGAAGAATGTAATTCAGAAACTGACTTATATATTAAAGTGAACCAACTGAAATTTTCTTAAAAGGTTTTATAGAGGGAATTAGTCTAAACATTAAGGTTACAAAGGAAGAGATTCATTGATCCAACCTCATTGCATACTTAATCTAAGATGAATAAAAAATCATTGCGTTTATGTAGTCATATTTGTGTGCATGTGTGCTTATGTCCATGCATCTTCACAAACAATCAGTCAATTTAAGATCATCGAAACATTAGTTGGTACTTCCTATTTTACTCAAGTACCAAATATTTAAGCAACTTATAGTTAGGAAAGAATAGTCATCTTATGTTTCCACCAAATTCTAAAGATCAAACAAACAGTAACAATACCTCTTCTGGCGGATCATAGTATATTCCATTGTATGGGATTTCACCTGGTGCTTGAACAGAGAACTTGATCCAAGCCGGAATGGAATCCTTAATCCCAGATGGAGTTTCCATACGAATCTACAATTATATGGTCAAAAAGTTAAAATAGAATTGAAAGGAGCTTTAAATCAATGGTGTTGACATGATCTCAACAGTCCAGATGCAAAAGGATGATTTTCCTTCTTTGTCTGTCTTTTCTTTCTCTTCTTTTAGGTGGGAATTAGTTCGATTTGAACCAAGCTACCTTGAATAATTTTATTTGACTTGGAGATCAACCATAAAATACATAAATGCCAGCACAGAAAACACTTTAAATGCTGACAGGCAGATAATTATATGGTATTTTTCTATATTTTATTTGTTCTGCCAAAGTTTCAGAAGATTAATCCTGCAGTAAGTTCTTTGATTGATTTTAGATTTCCAGAAACAGTTCTATACGCAATCCTACAACAAGAAGAGCTTAAATCATTAGTACCAGCAAACAGTGTGCATATTTTAAGATTCTAAAACATCTCGGCTACATTGGAGTTTTGATCAATGCAAACAACCATAAGTACATGACGGGCATAGATAAATTTTGTTTAGTGAAGCAAACTTGCAAGGGTTGTTGTAACAATCCAGCCACAGAAAACGTTGCAAATTAGATATGTAGAACTGATCTTCTATCAAACTCAACAACTAGCCTTCTCTAATGCCCTATTTATCTCCAAATTACATAACAAATTCTTATTATATTAGAAATTATTTCTACAATTAAAATATTCTTGATTAGTTAAAAAAGAAGGAAAACATTTTAGCTTTCTAACTAGTTTAGTAGCACAGCTTTGTGGCATGAATTCTAGAGAAGGTTGTTAGAACAAAACAATTTTTAAATTCAATGGAGATATCTGCCAATTAGACATGCAATAGGATCAATATAGAAAACCAAGTCATACTTCAAGGTTCCAGGTCCACAGGTTATGATCAAAAGGCTAAATAAAGACATTGCTGAAGTACAAGGAAAGAGATGCAATTTCTATAGGTTCTGTTTTCTCTGATATCAAAAATAGGAAAAAGGAATAATAAACAAGTAGCAACCGAAGGCAAAGGTGCCAACTTTCAAAAGCGAACTTGATATTCATCCACAGGGAATTTACCTTCACTCGAGAACCATGAGGAATTGGTGGTGAACCATCAGCATTGTTAGGCAAAAAGATCTCCCAGACACCAAATTCATTCTGTCAAAAAAATTAATATTTTTGAATTGAACATTTAATGGAAAATAAAAGCAGCATGTAAATTTGGAAAGAGATCACAATCAATGTAAGTCAACATGGCTTACTAAGCCCTTAGAACACAGTCACCGTCCTTTTTACAATTGGGACTGCATCCATTAAGTACGTGAATCTGCTGATACAATTAATTGTTATACAGACAAGCTAACTCTTTTACTTCATTACATAAACTTTGATAGCGTTAATGTTTTAAATTTTCAATTTCAAGCTTTGAATAATATCAAACAGTACTAATCGTTGGCTCCTCACACAAACAAAAAGATTTTAATGTTCAGATCTAAGATTAAGCTGAGTATTTTGAAAAACCCAAGCTTAAATGAGTTTTAACTTCCTTCAGCGTGAACATGTAGAGAATATATATGAAAACTTGGACTCGTGAAAAGATGACATTGCAAATAGAACAATTTCTCAAGGCATACATGATAAATCTTAAATAACATCAATCAATGTCAGAGAGCTGAAGTAGGGGAACAGTAGCTCATTAAAAGCAACACAAATGATGCAGCATTCATCAGTAAATTTGCAAGAGGGCTGCTCAAAACGGAAGTACTATATTACTGATATATTGAGATCTCTGAAGCACCAATACTATTGTTAACTGCATAATGTATGACATGTATTAGGAGAAGACAATTCACTGAGCAGTCAAAGAAAATAACTTTTAGGTGCACTTACTAATGTTCAATTTTTAAGTACTCCACTATACTTTCTGTTAAGTAATCCATCAATGGTAGAACAGTTCATCAAGACATGGAAAATATCAATTAACAAGTCATGGACACGCAACATTGGATTCGTACAGAAGAAAGCATAACATACCCGGTTCATAACATCAGCATTAGGGTTCCAATTATTAAAATCTCCAATTAGTGCTGCTGACTGAAAAAGAAAATGCAATGAAATTGAGAAGAAAACAACATCAAAAAGTTAAATAAGACTTTTCTGATAGGATGGAAGTCAACAATATATTAAAATCTATGGTTAAATCTCAAATTGTTAAAAGGATCCATAACAAACCTTAGCTCCTGGTGCCCACTCCCTGTAAGTTATTCCCGTCTCACTGAGAGCCAGATGAAATTATGATCAGAAAGAGCAACATCAACGAATGAAAATGATTTCTGATGCACAAAATGTGAACAACGAATGACATTTTCAATGAATATTGAAGTTAACAAGATTGTCATAAGCAATGTGATACAAAGAAACCATAAAATAAACATAGAAAGATATTCATAAATAAATAAATAAATAATAAAGATAAAAATGACAATAGAGAAAGGAGTCAAAGGACTAATTTTATGGGCTGTGATAGAATCTCATTTCTCACTTGCACCAATGAATCAAATATTTACTCATATTCTTGAGCATCAAGGAACTTCTTTTTTAGATTAAACTGTCTGAATTATAAACATATAAAAGTAATGGTAAATAATCGAAAATGTTCCAAAAAAGTAATTACAAGAATATTCCAACACTAATTTTATTAATGAAAATTGTTTATTTGAACCGGAAAGGGTAAAATACAAAAAGAAATGACATGCAACCATGGGACAAAGCAACAAAAATATGCAACACTACAACTACCGGACAAGACCATGCTAACAACCAGATATGGGAAGAAAGCTAACCTGAGTGTGAAGCCAAGCTTCTCGTAGCCACGAGAAAACACCTCTAAACCTCCTTCATACTTATCAATTTCCTCACGAATTCTTTTGTATTGTGCATACCTGTAATTGGGCAAAATGTACAGGGTAATCAAATCTTGATGAAGTTTCTAACAAATTCAATTCAGTATATAGAACATTAAAGTAGAAGTAAGTTTAAAATGTTTTTGGATCACTTTCCAGCACAAAATATAATCCTCTCCTTGGTGTTTGAATACACAAATACCATTAACAGCTTGTACACATCGATTTAAGCCAGCTGGATAATACCAATACACTTCAAAATCAATATATGATTCAATTTTTCTACCACCCTCAGAAGGTGGGGGGACCAGATAGAATCTAGTTAAACAAAAGAATAATAGGAATAGGAAACTGCCACATGGCCCTAAACAACGAAAACAAACACAAAAGTAACAAACTGTGAATGCTCTTTCAAGTCTACTCAAAACCTAGAGTAAATACTAACTGCAAGTAGGAGACATGCAAATACAGATTATTCACCAAGTTCCTATGCAGATACCAGTAAGGACCTCCAAAGACCACCACAAATCTGGCACAATGCAAATAAGAAAACACAGTGTACAAGCAATGGAAAAACAAGATAACCAAAGCATTCCAACAAACTAGAGGACTAAAACCTGCAGCCATCTTATGAAGGCCAGAGGAGACTCAACATCTGAAATCAAATTATCGCATGATACATACAGAAAGTAAGCGATAAAGGATTATCTCACCGGTAATCAAGATGTTGACGGAAACCCGACAGTGATGGATCTATTTCATATATTCTCTGTCCTGTGCCGGGAGGGGGAATGGATCTTGGCTTCGCTTCACTTTTCTCAATGCTTACTTTCTGGTTTGAAGGGGCAGACAACTCCTCAGCATGAGCCTTTTCAACACTACTTGCAGGGCTAGATGGAACAGATTCTTGTTCCTCAGCCTCGGTCTTCTTATTGTCTTCCATTTCTCTACTATCTACATCATGAAATACCTATAACAAAATCATAAAGAGATGAGAAAGATATAGTCGAGTATTTATTTTTATTTTTAAAATTAGTTACCTGTAACCAACAGAAGTTCAAAGATAAAAACTGAGAACATAACACTCCATGTCCTTCTTCCACAGCATTTTATTTCATTTATATTCTACGATAATTGTTCTTCCAAAAACAACATAGTTCAGATTTAGAACCACAAGATTTCATTTTTTCAATAATAAGTCAAAACTTTTTTAGAGAACCAACAAGCTTGATTGACATCAACACCATCTCAAACTTCAATTTTCAATTTGCCCCTATACATGCATTCTAGAAAATTCAACTGCACACAGTTTAAAACTATAATTAAACATTTTCATGCATAAAAATATACAATCTGCAAAAATATTAGCAAACCTGTGGATTATCTGAAATAGTGCTAGGGCTTTCCAATTCATCTGTAAAGGATGATGAACCATCATCCTGATCACCAGGAACAAGCACTTTCTTGGATGCAACAGTTAAGGGTGAGGAATCCGAATCATACGAAGAGTTTTGCGCAAAGATCTTCCCTACAAGCAAGCATCAAATCAGTTTTCTACACAACAGACATCAAATTACCATGAAAGCAGTCATCATCCATAGAGAATTCTTTTGACAATACTAAAATTATACAGGCAAATTAGGAATCAATCTTCCTTAGAGAAGAAGAGGAATCAGAAACAGCAATTATATTCATATGCTCAAAAATAAAAGGAATGATCCAACTATGACTTTCGAACAAGCTGATAATGGATCAAATTAAATACACCCATAACATATTCAAAAGTATAGATCTTATTTTCCGCCATTTCACTTCTGTCATCCTTTTCAAAATTCCAATCCCACCTTTAAACTAACCTTCCCTCGGTTTAAAAGTATTACTTCTTCATTTAAAAAAAAAACAGAAACTTCTTCATTGCAACTTTTTTACAGCGGTAATGTTCTGAACCAGGCTGATCAGTTCGCCAACAATCCACCTTTTTTTAATTCAATAATACCGCCAATAACACACAAACTACCATATGTAAATCAAAGAATAGTTAACTATTAATATACTATAAATATTTTGAATGCTAAACCTCATAAAGAATACGAGGTCGTTTTTGGAAACAATTCGCTTCAGCATTTCCAACAGGACCATACTAATACTTCAACTCTTTCAAATCTCACTTAATGTGTGTGTGTGTGTGTGTGTATATATATATATATCAAAGCATCGTATTTTGAGCAATTAATTTTGCTAACGCTAACAAAAAAAAACTATTTCATCAATAAGGTTTATAAATCAAATCAAATCAAATAAAAATATATGAGGAAGAAAAAGAAGAAACAAATTTTCTGGAAAAAAATACACGAGAGGAAAAACTATTAAAAAAAAGTATAAAGAGGAGGAATACGTGAAGTCTGATTCTTCTTCAACAAAAGAGAGAAACTGCTACTTCTACTAGAGCCATTGAAGCCAGACTGGCTGGACCGGTAAACCAAAGGAGCAGAAGGCAAACGTAATCCAGGTACACTGTAAACCATTACTTCGTCTCAACTTTTGTTTAATTTTCTGTTTGAAAAATAAATTAATTACAGATCCAGAAGAAAGAAGAAAGGAAGATTTCTCGCCACTTAAAGTTCCAAAGCCCACCGAGAGTAGCGTGAATGAAAGAGAAGGAAAAATGTAGATTTTTTATTTTATTTTATATTTCCAAGTAAATTACTAAATGAAATAAGTAGTGCTACGTGTGATGTGTAAGTTGTATAGGGATGGGTGTGGCTGATAGATTTGGCATATGGGACCCGTCCACAACTCATTCTCCACCGTCCAACTCTTGATTGATCTATTCATCAGGTTGACACACATGGACCCGCCACGTGGACTCTGCTTCACTGGAAGAAGAAGATATGAGAAAGGAACGGATGCTATTTTCTTTATTTATCTTTTTCCAAATAAACTTCATTATTACAAGGAAAAGGTACTTTTTCATTTGTATGAAATGAAAACCTTCCCTTTTTTGGCTACCCAACTTTTATCATCTTAGAATTATAAGAATTATGTAAAAATATATATTTGTATGCTTTTAAGAAAAATAAAATAAAAATAATTTCTTTAGATACTTTATATTTGTAAAGTGTATGTGCGTTGTCAATGATTAAGAAAGATTATGAATAGGCCTATAAACGAACCGAACATTCAGTGAATCATTCTCTAATCGTTCGGCGGGAAATTCGTTTATGTTCTTCTATTTATTAAACGAACGAGTATGAACCATATTTTATGTTCGTTTGATTAAATACACGAACACGAACAAATGGCTAGTTCGTTATTTACGTTCGTGAACGTTTGATAATCTGTTCACTTATGCTCGTTCGTTTATATTCACCTCAATCTCCAAACTTGTTTAAAATATTAAGACCTAATAAATTTTAACCTTAAACTCATTAATATTTTAAAATCCAATTAATTTTAGACCTAAATAAAAAATACCCAAATCAATTAAAAAATATATAAACTTTAAAATTATTTGAAAAGAAATAAACTTTTCTTAAATACAAACCTAATTAGTTTTATGTTCGTTTATAATTTTAACTAACGAACATGAACAAGCTACATTCCTTAACGAATGAATGCGAATAAGAAATTTCGTTCGTTTGTTCGACTAAAACTAAATGAACGAACATGAACATACATTTATTCATGTTCGTTTGATTTGTTTTGTAACACCCCCAACCCATATCCGACCCGAATACGAATCTGAGGTGTCACGTTGACTATTCAAAACATGTACTTTTATAATAAAAAAACCATAGAAAATTTAAAACTTTCCTTCTATAAAGTTATTCTTTTACAAAAACATGTTCAAAACATTATCAAACTCCATCAGAGCATACATAACTACTGACTTGTTTACATGCCAACATACTAAATTACATAACAAGACATACTTTATAAAATATATTTCTGATCTGATCTTCGAGTGGAGATATGCTACTCCGCTGGTCTTAAGCTTGATCCTTTGCTTATCAACACCTACGTGTAAGACACTTACACGTTAAATTATAGACTTATTGAGGCATGTAAATACATAATAGAAATATAACGAATTAACAAATGTGTGCCCTTATCATGCAATACAATGCTTGTGTCCATACATAAATCATCATTAATATACTTATCATTGCTTATATTATTACCTCTAATTTCTTGATATCATATAATCATATATGTATATATATATATATACTTAACATTTCTATATACTCAATAATGCATTAATATTTCACAATTCCTATCATAATATAATACAAACATCATACATCAATTCATATAACCAATTATATACATGTACACATATCATCATTATTCTAATCACATTATTGTCATTATCACTATCATTAATCCATTTAGAGCATATAATTTGATCTTAACCTTTGAAGTACTTTCTACGATATCTTTCACAAACAAAACATACAATATCATACAAGATTTCCTTATGTTATTTCTTTGTTTAGCCCATGTAAACTTTTGAGAACTTAAGGTCTATGAGTTCATTGAGGTTGTGCGCAATGTTGTCACCACAACTCGTATAAATCCCATTAGGGGCGCGTAGAAATTGTCCCAAAGGACCATTATGTCCCGAAGGACTACATATCACATATGTCCCAAAGGACCACGTAGAACTATTGACTCTTGGCATGCCAACTATACCTATAGCTCTCATAACACATGACATGGACATTATCTTTTATATCAGTTCACATATTCACATAAGCACATAGTTTACTTTCACGTAGCATATTTCCATGAAATTCACATTCGCATATTACATAGCTTCTCGCATTTACTTGTATTCTTTTTCACATAGCTCATAGTCATGGGTCTTATCTCATAAGCATATGTTCACATAATTCATAGTCATGGGTCTTACCTCATAAGCATATGTTCACATAATTCATTTAACATTCGAATAGAGACACATATAAATCATATCACATTTTTCTTGTATTTATATAGACATGTATTCAAATATATCCCTTTCACATATCTTTTATCATATATCTTATCTCTTATGATTGCATAACCTATTATCACATATACATCCATTTACATGGTTCACATATAAAGATGTATTCAACAATTATACATATACATTTACTCATATACATCCAGTACCATATCACTACATGTTTACGTTCTGGTACTCATATCACCTAATATCGGAATTAGACTCATCACAAGTCTTAATTCTTTAAACATAACGTACACTTAATATCATGTACTCACCTGGGTCTCGATGTACACTATCAATCTCTTATTCTCTTACGAATCTTACTCTGACGACCTATCCGAACTTTGCTTCCGATCGATATCTACACGAATACGAAATTTAATGAATGTCGAGATTCGAATTACTTGATACGATTCATATCAATATAAACCAAATAAAACTCCAATTATAACTTTTCAAACTTAGAGGGTATCGGTACCACCCTCAAGGTACTGATACCTCTAGGTTAGGGTACTGATACCCTACCCAGATACCGATACCAAAATTAACTTCGATGTTCCCCATTTATCGATACCCTCCACATAGGTATCGATACCTCTACCACAGGGTATCAATATTGTTCATACAGGTACCGATACCCCATGCATCACTTCCTCATAAATTATCTTGAGGTATCAGTACCTACTCAACAGGTACCATTACCCCTTGCCCAGATTTCCATTTTCAAGCCCAAAAATTAAACACTTACCTCCAAATTCTACTTGTTAACTTTTTCCTTGTGCCTTAAAACGCATCCATATACATACAAACCCTCTTTAAAAATCATAACACTTCATTATCTTTCATAACTAACCATAATTCTTGAATTAAAGAATTTCACCAATTTTACCATGTGTTCTAAATTCATTTCTATTACTTCTAACTTCTTAATTAAACCCCTGACAAGTCAAAAATCTTATTCAAACTCTAAAAACCACTCCATCTCAACAATTCATCTTAAAACTCATTTTACAAATTCCTTCTTAATACATTCATCTTATTGTCTAAATCCCATATAAGCTTTCCTTAAGCTTATTTAGTACCCAAAGAATCAAAACCCACTTAAAAATTCAAGAAATCAACAATAAAAATCCAACTTACCTTTGTAGCTAGAGCCCACGTGAAGAAGAGGAAAGTAAAAAGAAGAAGAAAGCTTCTAGATAGCTCTCTTCCCACATGTTTCACTCTTATTTAAGGGGAAATATCTTTTAAAAGAAAAAAACATAATACCCTTTCAATCTTTTCATAATTACAATTTAATCCACTACTGAAATATTCCTATTTAAGTCCTTGAACTTTTCAATTTTCCTAAATTGATCCCCAAAATTTCAAAAATTCTCATATTAGTCATTGACCCGGATTTCGGGATGTTACATGTTTACAAGCCTAATTTTAACTATATATATATATAGAATAAATAATTAAAAGCAAAAGTGAATATTTTTAAAAGTAGGTAACTTTTTTTAATTAAGTGGACTCATTAGTTAAAAGATTGTTGTTATTTTTTGAGGTCACGAGTTCAAGTTATATATGCAAAAATATGAACATTCATTGTCAAATAGTTAAATTTCTTTGAACATATATTATATTGTATTCACCTCATGATTCGTCATATATATATATATGTAACACCCCAACCCGTACCCGACTCGAATACGAGTCTGAGGTGTCACTTTGACTTTTCAAACTTTGACTCTTAAAGAAAAACCCCGGGAATTTAAAACTTTGTTTAAAACAAAATACGTTAATTTACATAAAAGAGACCACAAAATACAAACACGATCAGAGTGCTCATAATTAATGACTTATTACATGCCAACACTCTATACACAACAAAATACCTACTTTGTCGATTACTTCTAATCTGATCTTCTAGTAATAATAATGTCCTTGCTACTTCTATTCTTGCTCTTCTCGTTTCTTAGTACCTACGTGTAAATCACTTACATGCTAAGTCATAGACTTAGTGAGGCAATAAATAAACATGTAACAGTAGATTCATGAATATGCATTCTTACCATTTGATCATGATATTTCAATATGCATGTATATATTTCATATGACATATATAACCAAGTCATGCACACATGAAACTTACCTTTTTGCATCACTTTCACTTTAATTTATATTTCAATTGCTCATGTATATTGTTGCTGAGAACAAAGGTATGTGAGTACATTGAGGTTGTGCACTAATGTTGTCACTACAGCTCGTATAAATTCCCTCATGGGCATCGAACATTTGTTCAGTATTCATCCCGAAGAATTGCTATATATGTCCCGTAGGACCACTACGTTCCGAAGGACTACAATACCCTCGACTCTTGGCATGCCAACTATATCTATAGCTCTCGTATCATATACTATGGGCATTTACGATGAATACATTTCTCATCACTTGTTCTTTCTTTTCTGTCACATACCACATGTATGTATAACCATGTATTTCATATCATATCACATAGCTTATCTCATTTCACATTGGTCATGTCTCATAGCATATATCACATATGTATATAATTATGTATATCATATCATATATCTTATGTTTTATGCTCTTATGTATATGCATATCATAAAACATATATAATAACCTATACCCATTT